TATTTGAAAGTATAAATTGGTACAACTTTGTGTACAAACACTTATACCAGTTTATAGCAGGATTTTATCAGTTTAGCTTGCACACACAAAAATAGCACCAGTTTAACCCTTTGTTTATCCAATGCAATTTCTGCAACTAAACAAGCCCTCACGTTCTCTGCTTTTTGTGTCCTAAAAATGAGATGAGTGCCCTTAAGTCTAGTTTTTTATTTTAGTTTCTGATTTATGCCCATCATAACAGCTCCACACACAATTTCAACACATTCAACAGAAACCTCCATAGATAATGTCACAAAATCCTTGAAAGCACCCTCTGCCAGGTCAGTAAAAACTAACATCTTTTCCATTTAACTCATCCCTGCAAGAAAAGATGGAGTCATGGTGCCTATATACTCCCAGAGCACATGTATAAATGCCTGCATTGTGTGTATACATGCCTGTATCAGGCCCTGAAAACTAGCAGTCAAATTCAGGCCTGCTCTACATCAGATGCATCAAATGGAAATTGTTTTTTAATCCAATGTAATGGAAGTTACACAAATTCCACTTTATTAAGCTTTAGTATAACTGATTCTAATAGACTGGAGCTAAACTGAAGTAAAGGTGGCTAGGCAGTCTTCCGATTAATTATATTGATTAAAACTCACACTTTTCAATATAGCTATGAAGGTTTTTTGACTGGACAAGCCAACAGGTTTTGTAGCATGAAGGAAGAGAAGTGAATTCTGGTTTAAAGATTTTCAATTATATACAAATCTTGAGGCTGCTTTAAAAGGCCTCACTGATTTTGTATGTCAAAGTAACACATTAGGTAAAGGGGCTGGTTTCTAAAATACACAGGACTTCCAAATGTTTTGTAGGTCAAAATCATTAGCTTGAATAGTATCCAGCAATAAACTGAATGCCAGTACTATCTAAAGTAGATAGGTATTTAGTAATCAATACATAGACTGATTCCTAGTCTCTGCTCAAGAATCACTAAGCTGCCTGTTAACTCAAGCTGGAGTGGTCTTGAACCTACATACAATAACCTGACTTAGTAAAGACCAAAATTAGTTGAGATGTTTCCCTCTAAAAGCAAAGATTAGGCTCTTTAATAAATACAGATGAAAAAGCAAACTTAATCTTCAACTTCATTGCTACATGAATACCCAGAATCAGTCTTGATTCAAAAGGAATCATTAACTAAAACTTCATAACAAAAGGCAGGCAACACCCCGTCAAATAAAGGTGTAATTCTTCTTCCAATTATTTCCCTAAACCACTCTCACTGCTTTTATGTGGCTAGTGCTTCAGCCAGCTAGTTCTCTAAGCAGCAAACTCTTCCAGATTCATCAAAACCTAAGCAGCCATGTCATTTGGTTCAAAATACTAGAGACAAGTTCTACGTATGAAACACACAGTGCACATATCGCAGCCAGAATCAGCATGTCCCTCTCTTTTCTCAGTGATTCTCAACCAGGGTGCTGCAGCTCAGGCTTAGGCTGAGTCTCCTTTCTGCTCACCTGATTCCCAACCACTGCACCACACAGAGATAAGCTCTGTAATAAATTAGCTTTTGAAACTGGACGCCATTCAATTCACAAAAGTCATGAAGGTGACTTAAGTCCAATGAAAGGTGCCGTGAGTCCAAAAGGTTTTGAGAACTACTGCACTAATACAAAGAAAATCGACATCCATTTTTCAGCAGTGTTGCAGGTGCACAGCTGCGGGAAAAACCTAAGAAATGTTCTGCTTCCTTATCTGGCCTCATATATACGTAGTACAAGGGAGACATTAATACCCTTTCAACCCTGAGCCAGATAAGCATTCACTCACTATAACCCTCTGGTTCATCTCCAGAGAAGGAATCAACTCCTGCTACACATGAAACACACTGCACGACAACACCTCCCCACCATGGACAGGATCAAAAGCAGCTAAACCTTGTTCTTTTTACTGAGGCTCCTTTGACTGATTCACAAATAGGAAGTGTTTCTCCTCCACTCCCATTAACAAACAGGAACGGGAGAGCCTTGGGCTCTGTTGATTTGTAATAGATTTTTTTTTAATGGATGCAAATAACAACAGTGGCCAATGTAGCATTCTCAAGTAATTAATGTTAGCAGCCCCTTGGTTCTGGTGGGTAGAAAAGCATGGCACACACACTTCTGTTCATAACTGCTGACTTCCTGGGCAGATGGTCCCCCTTATGTAAGACAGCAGGTGTGGAAGTTAAGGATTTTCTTTATTATTGTATTGGAGGTTTTCTGCCTGATGAGTGTTAGGATCTTTTTCCTTGTCTGACAGCATTATGAAAAACATCAATTGTTCTCCTTCCTTGTTTCATTCATCAAGCATCTTTTAGATGTATTTGGCCAGATGTTTGAAAGTGCTCTGCACACAGCAACCCCTTCCCCCTCGCTCCCAATGGGGGAAGGAATCTCACTGGGAGCTGCTGGGTGTTATATGAACATGATCACGTGGCTGAGTCCTGTGTGACACAGGATACTGGGCAAGACGGACATATAGTCTGACCCAGTATATGGCAGGTTTTATGTTCTGACTCCTTGGCTATTGAGGGAACTGGTGTGTAAATGTGTGAACATGTGTGTGCGGGCACACACACATCTAATAGTATTTTAAAAAGTCACCTGGAGATTGATCTTTTCACAATATATGCTATATATATTTAGTCCAGAGGTATTATCTACTGACCAGAAGGACTTAAATCCAAAATGACTCTGACAAGAATGAAAAACAATACAAATATTACTATTAGTTTAAGGAAATTTAAATGCATTTAAAATAACTCATTTAAAAAGCTTCCCTTGATTAGAAAAGCAGAAGGTTGCACGTTAGATGTTCTTTTCAACTCTGACCTTAACATAAATGTTCAGCCAATGGACAGATTGAATAGTATTCAGCTCAATATAAAACTTGCTATTTAAACCGGGCTGATCATCATGTACGTGGTTTTGTTCTCTCCTCTCACCCCCACCTTTCATCTTTTCTTCTTGAAATTGCCTCTGGGTTGTACTGACCCAGTGGCAATTTCAGGAGATAAGTTGTCTGATATTAGTGACATACTTGTGTGTCAGTTAACAAACGTGATTGGAAAAAATGTTTACTTTAGAGAAAAGATCTGCTTCTATATACCCGAGTCATTTTATACCAAATAATTGTAGAATTGGCATCTTTACTGAAATTGTTCTTGTAATTTCTTTTTGTTACGTTAGCATGAAACTTCACGTTATCTAGGCAATGGTATTCAAAACATACTCTGTTCTGGAATGGCTTAAAAATAACATTTAGAAGAAAGTATCATACTTGTTTTCTGCCCATCTTGGATTTTTTATTAATTAAGAATAGCTAGAAGGTTATTTTTCCATAGAGAGGTTGTATTGGGCGTGCTTATGTTCTGAGTCTGGTGCTCTCTCTGAAAGAGGCTACAGATTTTGAAGAAATATTGTTAGTTCTTCTGCAGTAAAAGCAAATAAATAAGTGTAAGCTTATGAAAAAAATTAACCATGAATATGATGTTTGAGCAACTACTGAAGTTAGCATCATAGGGAACAAGGCTAATATGATAATAGGACTCTTCCTACTTCACAAATAGGCTTTACAGTGTTGGAAGCAACATCAGTGCTTAACTATTTACTTCTTTTTTTTTTAAGGCCTCCATCTCAGCATGTGCAAACTTGTCAGACTACAAAACTAACTCAAGAAAATTGGTGGCCAAACCTAACACAATCATGGACCTCTGCAGGACTCTGGCGAGGGGAGATGGGGAGGCAGACAGGGGAGCAGGGATAGACCTGAAGGGCGGAGGGAGTGTCAGGGGCCGGACACGGGCCTCTGCCCCTCACCCCCATCATTCTTGATGGGCAATTGGCTAGTATCCTATAAATACCCCATGTTCATCATTATTTGTTCACGTTATAGCCTCCATCTATATATCAAAAAATGCGTTTCTTTTAAAAAAACATAGTCATCAGTTTTATATTTCATACAACTTTTCTATAAAAACAAACATTTCTTTTTAATTTTCTTAAGTACAACAAGTAATTTTACAGAAGCAGCATATCATCTTGATGCAAAACAAGAAAAATATGGAAGAAAAAACTGGATTACAGAAGACATCATATAAAATACTGCGATTGAATACTGTCAATGTAATGCTTTCCTTAATTGATACTTAACTCAGAGCTTTAAGAAGAATCAGAATAAAAGCGCACAAAGGCATGACCAACACTTTTTTATTTACATCCCAGTTAAATTTACAAAACGTGTAGTTCTGAGGCATGATTTAAAATGAGAGGTTAAGAGAATATAAAGCAGATGCAAGATTCCAATGCTATATTTAGAGAAAAAGCTACAAGCGCTTCGTATACAATCTCAATATTTGTGTTTTCCTGTTCAAGAAAGCCAAAGATAGCATTTTGTTCCTAAAGATGCAGTTTCATTGCAATTGTTTGCATGGGCTGGCTAAAGGCACAAAAGGGGAATCCACAGGAGCACTTTACAACAGCTTAACGGGGTAAAATGCAGTTCTGAGTTCCAGTCCCAAAATAGCAGACTTTGTTGACAGGCAGAAAAGCCAACTCCACGACACTCGTAGGAGCCTCTGGCACAGGGCAGCATCAGGAGCATTTTAATGCTGAGACTATTCCCGAGTGTTAATGGCAAAATGGAATTCAGAGCAGCCTGCAAGGCTTTGCCTGGGGTGTGGGGGAGCAGTAAGCCAGCCAATGAGGCCAGTGAGCCAGCCCTTGCTGCTAGGGATCAGAGGGGCAGGGCCGGTCCTGCTCTCTCGAGCAGACAGTACAGCCCAGGGCTGAAAAGCATGTTGGGATGCTGGGGGACTCTGATTTAACTTGAATCAGGAAAGGGTCAGGGACAGAAGTTTCATAAATTGGTTTGACCTAAATCAGTTAAGTCTGATGCTACACTCAACCAGGTTTATCTTATACCAGTTTCAGCCATTTTGAAACTGGTTTATATACACTGAACTTCTGTTGTTACAGGTTTAAACCAGTTTCTGATCACTTAAATTGGGTTCTGTGTAATTTCTGTCCCTAGTCAGGGGGTACAGGCTGAAGCTTGAGTGCTGCTGACTTAAATTAGTGAAAGACTGGGGATGTAATTGGAGAGTAGAGCACAAGTTGGAATAGCTCCTCAGCTGCTTTTCAAATCATTCTATCTAGCTCAAGTGATTTGCAATGTGGCTAGTCTTGGTTGAGCTAGCTGAAGTACAGTAAATCAAGATAATTGGTACACTGAATATGAGGCTTAATTCTGATTGAACTTTCTTTGAATTCATCTGAAAATGAACCTACAAACAGTCCAAAATCACTGATCAAATAATCCTGAGCTGCTCATACTGTTCAGCAATGGGACAAGTGTCACCCTGATTTATTAAGCATTTGTTGGCAAGTAGGAAGAGATACAACCATAGAAGGAGGAATAGTACACAGCAGAAGCACATGATTGGCACTAAGGAAGTATCAAATTTTAAAATCACTGCTGCGACCCCCTTTCTGGCTTAGCAAAAGTAAAAAAAAAAAAAGAGACCTCTAAAATTTTTAAAAAATAAAAATGGCACTGTGCATTTTTTATTTCTTTATATACTATAAAATGGGTACCAAGAAGGCTAAATCTGCCCTGCTCTGTTTTTGCTGGAGGACAATGGGAGGACTCTCAAACTTCACTTCAATTCTGAATTTTAAGCAAAGGCTTATCTTCCATTAAACTGGTAAACAGTTCTCAATCACTCTCAGTTGCTCAGTTCTCAACCTCTCAATTCTTGTGAGATCTACATTTACTAGTTCTCTGATCACTGAAGAAACTTCTGAGGGGAAAAGGCCCATCAGGGTACACTAACCAGGAACCTGAATGTTGTTAAACAACAAACAGGAGAAAAATTGTGATTCAGGCTTTTCAGCCTTTGTATCATTGAGACATAAGTGACACAAACATCCCTGTTGGTTGAGCTACTTCAATTTCTACAAGCGAGTCTCCCCCATCTGGAAACTGATTGCACCTTCCTTCAGGAAGGTTATAAGAATTAATGTTTGGGAAACATTAATTCTGAGCATGGAACATAGAAGGGTTCATAAGTGATAAGTATTCCTACAGCTTTCCTATTAACTACCTTATCTCTCTGTCCTTTGCAAAAAGCCCTAATAGTTCTGCAAAATTTCACTTAATCTGTTCATTATATAAATGAATGATTCTTTAACACATTTTACAAAGATTTTAACTTTTAACTTTTAAAAGAGGGAGATATAAATAGCCTCTTAGATTAAAATCCTTAATAGCTAAGAAGAGGATAGGCTAGCAGGTGGCTATTAATCACCTTTCAATATTCCCAACTAGGCCTGGCAGGGGCCAAGCTGCCCAGATACAATTCAGAACACGCTAAGGGCTGCTCTCAGAATTATCCCAATTGCAGCAGTCCCAGACAAAAAGCTCCACCAAACAAACAGGAAGGAGTGCTGAACTCCTCAGCTGTATCCTCCCATGCCTGTGTACTTGTCATTTCCCCTGTCCCATGCCACTGAAGGAAAGAAGGTGGCAACCAACAATTTTTATATCAAACCGTAATTCTTCTGTGCTGGGGGAAAATCATCAGTTGCCTTGCTGAGATCATGGTAAGTGCCATTTGTACTGTGAAAATAAGCCAAAGATTTGGCCTCTCGTTTCATTGTTCATTTATTTTTGCCAAACCCAAGACATGCTTCTTGAATCTGAAACAGTCCAATCATTTATATGATTTCATTATTTTAGAAGCATCTTAGGAAGTAAATTCAATGATCAGGCATTTTTAACCCACAATTTGGAAATGAATGTACCATTTCACCACTGAGACATGCTGATTCCAAATTTCAGTGAAATCAGCCCTAGAATAATCAAGAGCTCCTTGGGGTTTTCAGTATTCTTTAGCTATACACTTTGCAATGGTGCTCAACTGGATATTCGAAGTCCCTTCATATATTGTGCCTGAAACAAATCAAAGGACATAAAACTCAAGTTAGCAAATTAACAGTGGTTTAAGATCTTGCTTTAATGACCCAATTAGAGCTCTTTAACTGTAAAGCAAAGGATTTAGTATACAGTAGCCAGAATCTGAGCTAATACTGTATTTTCTTGTGTACAACACACCCCTGAATAATATATGCACTTTGTATTTGAGAGCTAAAATGAAGAAGGAGAGATTCTCCTTTGAAAATACTGGTAAGGAACAGTTAGTAACTGAGTAGTAGCTTTTTCAGCATGCTGGAGAAAAAAGAAAATGTCTGCAGCCGCTGTTACACCCCCACACCTGCTGAGGCAGAAACTACTATTACCATATTTCCTCACTTATAACGTGCACTGCAATTTCCAGCAGCTAAATTTGGGGGGTGGGGGTGCATCTGTATGTACAAAAATGTGTAATTTACATAAACTATTAAAATATTTTGCTGTTGATTATTACAACCATGAAGCATGTAGCTATTATTGAGGGTAAGGCATTTTCCTGAATTTCAAATCTCATGTTTCAAATAAAAATAGAAAATATTTACAATTAATATCAGCAATTAAAATTAAAAACCAAAGAGCAAAATTGAAAGCAATGACTAAATCAAAAATCTTCTTAGACTTTCAAAAGGAGAAGTTATATTGAAAATGCAAACTTAGGTCATATCTAGACTATACCCAGCAGCAGTACCCCCAAATGCTCAGAATTGCTCTACAAATTCTCTCTCCTGAAGTATGGGGAATATAACTACATCTGTATAGCACTGTGGGAGGCTAACTAGCACGGGGTAGGTTAGCTAGCACTGTCACTCAGCAGTGCTAATTAGTGCAGCATGGAGGCAGCTACACTTCGTTTTAGTGCAGCAGGGAGCCCATGGGCAGCAGTACAGTGTGAAAGAGGGTGCACTGATGTTGGGTATAGTAAGCTTGCAACTTGAACATGGCCTTAGTCTCCTAACTTGCCAACTTCACCCAATTGCAAAAATGGTACCTTTGATTCTTTTGAATCTTAATAATGTTCTCATTAAACAAGGTGAAGTGTTTATCCATATTTACACTGAATTAAATAGAATGGACTGACTTGCATCTTTCTTGTATGACCCTTATCACAGTCAGACCTGAGTGACTGTATTAAGCTAAAAGGATAGCAATCTTTGTCAAGTTGCTATCGTCTCATTCAAACCTAAATCTATAAACCAAACCATCTTAAATTCTGTTTTACGTATTCAGGAAGAAACTTCTACTTACCAATCTTGCAGTCTCGGTAATACTTTTCAACTGGATAATCTTTTGTGAATCCTGCTCCACCCATCCATTCAATACATTTACTAGTTGTCAGTGTTGCAACCTATACAAAATGAATTTCACAATTACCATTTAATAATACACCTTTGCCAAGACATGAGTAAATTTCAGCTTTGTATCTGTTTTCAGAAATAAAGCAGTGATGGGAACAACTGGAGGGAAAAGGAAAGATTAGTATTTCTGACATGTATCCCATATACATTATGGAAGTGTTACTTATAAGAATGTTATTTGTGCTTGAACATAAAGTTCATTTTCATTTCTCTGCCTCCATAACATCAAGAAGTCACAGTTATTTTCAATAGCTGTACTTTCCTATTACCTCTCAGGTAAGAGACTTTCCGTGTAGTCAAAACAGCAGTTAGCGTGAAAATGAAGTGATTCTGCATTTTCCTGCAGGCATTTTTAGATCTTATTTTGGCATTCTTGTTCTGACTGGGAGAAGTGCAAGGGATGCCTTTATGACCTCAAATTAAATTCCCCCATCTCATATCACCACAGTGATTAATAAACCTGTGGTAATGGTATTTTCCTTCTCGGTATGTGAATATTGGTATAACCAACTTGACCAGGAATAAGCAACCTTTTCCAAATGTGGGCCAAAACAACAAACCCTGGGTCAGAAATGGGTGGGTGAAATTGGTGCAGCCAGCGGTTGTTGTCGCAGCAGTACAGAGTGAGCACCAACAGTCAAAGCCCAATGCCTCCAAAGCCCCACATCTGCAGGCTGGATCCCACGTATCCATGGGCAATAGACTGCCAACCCTTGAACTTGACCATAACAATGCACTTGTTTTTTAAGTGCTACTGTTTGGGTTTTTGATAGCTTATTTAGGGAGTTTATGTTGCTTTTTCACTCAGTTGTTCTCTTCCTCATCACTCTGAAAACTGCAAGCTAGAAACAAGGAGAACACATTCACAGATTTTAAAAGCAAGTAATTTAAAAAAGAAATGCATTCAGTAATCAATCAATGTTTAAAACAAAGTGAAGGGCACTTCCTCAATAAAAAAAAATAAAGAGTTACCTCTGCAGCATAGTATTTGGCCATGCTTGCCTCTTTTATGAATGGCTTTCCAGTTTCGGCAAGTCGGGTGGCGTTGTAAGTCAGCAACCTGGCAGCTTCCAGTTGAGTGGCCACTTGAGCTATCTGATGTTGCATTCCCTGTAATAACCCATCTCCCAAATTATATGGAACTTATCAAAGAAACATTCAACATGCTATTCCTAGATAACTCAAGTTTAAATCCAATAGCAGCTTCTGGCAAAAAATTACTTATTTTGCTTTTCAAAAGACTCAAATCTACATTCCCCAGCTGAAGACACCTTAAGTTATTTGGTGCTCACTGGAGTTCTTTTTTCCCGGATCAGGCTGAGGAAAGCTCATGTACTGATACCACATACATTTGACCAGATGAGGAATGTGAGGAATTGTGCTGCATAGTGTGGTCTGTGCCTTCTAAAGGCAAATTGCAATGTTTTGTTTTCTCCTTGTTTTCATTTCCTTCTCTTTGACTACCTGTAGCAACAGTGGGCCGTGCTTTACTTAGTTGTTCTCATGTGTATATGCCCTATCAAGCTTACAACTATTAAAAAATGTTTGAAACATAAAATAGACCTATTATTTATCCAGACACTGTCTGGTAGAAGACAACAGGAGTTGTTTGTTTAGTTTGGGAGGGATCTATTTACATCTCAGAGGGGAAAGGTATCTCTCTCCTTTCTTCTCCTCTGACAGGTTAAATGTGGTAAAATGCGATGCCAGTGTGTTGAGTAGCAGTAGCTATACTATCTCTTTTAGCATGGAGAGCTTTGAAGGTGGCAGAAGGAGAATGGTGCTTATGGAAGGATGAGAGAACAAGAGAGCACAAGGAAATATGATGGGTATAGAGAAGAACAGGGAAAGCAAGGGGTGGGGAGAGAAAAATGTCTACATCCATAAGCCAGTCTAAGACATTAAAATTTAAGGCAGGATAAAAGCCTATCCTCAATATCCCACCCAAGTATACATCTCTTCTGGCAACCTATTGAAGAATGCAGTCTGCAGGGGAGAAGCCACACTTTCACGATCTTCTTAAAATTAGTCAAAACTGAGCTACTACCCTGTGCAGCAGATTCTCACTTTTGGTCATAACTTAAAAAAAAGAGAAAGAAAGTAACGTAACAAAAGCGTTAAGGTCAAAAGTACAATTTATTAATCCAATTACACATTACAATCATATTGTGCTTTCTTTAAAAAAAAGAAACCCCCCTTATTTTTTTTGAAAGGCTCCAAAATTAAGTTGCTTGGCAATGAACATTTAAAGGATCCAGCTTACTGCCCAATACCCTGAAATCTTTCTAAACACATTATTACTCACCCAACATTAACACTATTGTGCTCCCTAAAATTTGCAAAAATATGTAAAGGTCAAAATAACAAAATTACAAGGCAATTATGAAATTCATTTCCTTTCAAGGGACCCATTTCTACTAATTTCCTAGCAATCTCTGGGTCCTTCCTAAATTTTTTATAAAGTATCTGTAGTACTAATGTTCCTTCCCTTCAGAGACCTACTTTCCTTTGAACAAGAAAATCACTATAGTAATTTCAATTATACATCTTCCTTATTAACCTATACATCATTTTTGCAACAAATTAGATAATCTTGTTTCATTTTAAGATACGGATTTCAAGAGAACTGTCTTTGTAGAAAGCACAGACTATCATCATTAAACTTTCTTCAGTTTCTCCTTATCTTTTTTAGTATTTTCAGTGTCTAGAGAGAAAATATCTGTCCCTACCCTGTGGATAATATGGCCTAAAGATGTAAACAAATTTACAGCAAGGACAAAAAAATGACACTAGTTCTAGTGTATTATTTTAAAGGTAGTGGACATACTTTATTCTTTTTATTGTAAACAATAGTATCAGATTAAACTAAAGTGTTGCTTGGCATACAAAATATCTGTAAAACCAGATATATCATTAGGTCTGTATATTTTACATACCAAACTAAGAATCTCCTGAAATTTTTCTGAATCTGCAATTTATAGACTTTGAGAAGTTTTATACAGCCAGAAAGCACTACAGTTATGTAATTATATTATTTATTGCTGACATCCTCTATTGGGATAATTACTACTTGGTTATTAAAATAGATCACTTTTAATATATACATTCATATGTACCTGGAAATCAAATATGCTTTTCCCAAACTGGACTCGGTCCTTTGTATATGGAAGAGTTTGGTCAAAACATCCCTGTGCCAACCCCAACATCTGCGAATAAACAGAAAAACAAAGATTATATTGAGTAAATAATTTGTATATTTAATGTACCCAGTGGAGGGAATCATTACAGTAATTCTTTTTCTGGACAGATGGTGCGCTTTTAAAAAAAATTTTGGCATTCAAGGAGATAAGCTTTGTTTTCTTCTTCAGAAAAAAAGAAATATGCTGTGTGCAGCACAAGGAACAATGAAACTAAAGATGATGGAAACAGAAAATACAATGACATATCAGCTCAGAATTTTGTCAGCCTAAGTTTTACTACAATTAGAATTCCTGTCTAGGTGAATAATGATAAAAAGTCTTCTTAAGGAATTAGCCTATTATATAACCATCTGCATGTACAATGAAATCCTGTAAATCAAGGCGTGGTATCAGTAAAAACGTAGCGAATTTTGTGCAAAATTCAGGGGTCTTCAGGGATCTTAGAACGCAATCACTTTTAAACAGTAAAATTACTGTATGTTAAGCAGTAAATAAATATACATACTACTCTAAGAAATTGCAAATTACAATCAAGAAGTTTAGTAACAATCAAGTTTAGTATAATCAAGTAACATGCAAGTCATCCACTGCAAAAAAAAGGGAGCCAGTTATGATATAAACACTTCAGCTCATTTCATATAGACCAGCAAACAGAATACAAACTTTGAATTATCTAGGTGAACTGGGCTAAAATCGGTGGCTAGGATCATGGCAAATGCTAATATAATTGTATGACTGAGATCTTTTATGCCTGATCCCTAAAGCTGTGCATCCTGCAATGCCAGACACGCATGGTAGGATGCATGATTTCTAGGACCGGGGACCAAATTCCTCCAATACCAACCATGCGATTGCCAGTGTAGGAACCCTGCCATTGGAACATGGTTCCTGAGGCAGGCTCCAATCTGCCAGGAATATGAAAGGCAAGCTGTGTAGCCCAGCACTGGAAACCAGTTCCTTCAAGCCAGACTCTACATCTGCTTTTCTTAAGGTCCTGGGTTAGTACGAGCCCAACACTGGGGAGATGCTCACCCATTTGGACTTTCTGGGCCCGAAACTATTGAAACCACTGCAACACCACTGCCCTTTGAATATGTTAGCTCCCCACAGGCTGGCATATTCAAAGGGTGCACATGCAGCTAGACTGCACACACTATACCTAGAAACCTACATGCCACGTGTTCAAAATTAAGAGTGATATAAAGCAGCCACAAAGATGTTCCACATTTCATGGAATATTTAGGGATAGTTTGGCATTTTATTGCCTCTTAAATATCTTGCATGTGTGGCATGTTGCCATTTATTGTACGATTAACACATTAATCACACGATAAAATACGATTAACCAGGGGCCTAAAAATGAAAGGTTTCTTGCCATGCCAGTTTCTTGAGCCTTTGAGGCCCTGTCTCAAATATCTAACATGTTAAGTGAAACCATTTAAACTCTTCTCTCTACCTAATGACTCAGGACTGAATGCCAGAGGGATAGTGCAGAGTTTTTCGTCAGTATCAGATCATAATCTTCCATTTATGTTAAGTTACAAGGAGTTATACATGCATCAAGAGCAGAACCTAACTGGTAAAGGTGGCATTTTGAACTCCAGTTCAAACTGTTGGTTAGTTTGATGGGAAAATAAAACAGACAGTTATGAAGAACCCCTTTTGAAAACAGCGTTTGTATCTGTCCCAGCTTCTCATAGGCTGGTCTAGGTCTGAAAAAAATATAAAAACACAGGAAGCAGGTTTCATTACAAAAATAAGCTTGAAGAAAAGATCCCACAAGGAATTAGTGACCTTTCGAAGGTCCACTTCTAAAAAGAGGGAGTATCATGCAGTGGATAAGTGAGGAATTAGGAACCTAGTTGCTTTCATTCTTATCTAGCTGCTCTTTCTGCATGCTGTACTTACTGCTGCTTCTAACGGGAGCAAAGATGGAAAGTGCAACTAAAAGAAACACACAACCAAAAAACATCCCACACCAGATTAAAAGGGAGCCAAACATGAAATAAATAAGAATAGTTATGATTTCAAAATTGGAACTACATAGAACTTTAACAGCACAAAGTACATGGATGAATAATATGTAAAGGCAAGTTACTAAATGATGATAGTCAGCTATTTGATCACACTACAGTCAGCTTTGACATGGTGTCCAAATAAATGCCGGGTGCTTTACAGATCCTTGGGAAGACAAGGTAGTTAACTTGAATGCAAATGCCACTTCTCAGCATGAGGGAAAAAAGCCACAGCAGCAAGAACATAAGAGAGAGACTTCATACATATCAGAAAGCTATACAGAAGAGCTTAGGTTATCCCAAATTCCCTAGACATTTCCTCATGGCAGTACAGCTCAAACAACATATGGAGAAGCAGTATAAAAAGTCTGATTGTAGCAATCCTAATTAGCCACACGCTACACTACAGGATTCCATTGCATTGCTGTAAAGAAACAAATCATATAAACTTTAGCATATACAACATCATGTATGTCTACTTTACATCACAACTATCTGAAACTGTTTTCTTAGCCACAATCATATTTTTATAAGATGTTCATTACCTTTTACTATTACTACTCCAAAACTAAATTCAATACTACAGGGTTTTTAAAACTGCTGTTCTTGTTCATTCAAGCACATTTCTCTTTATTTGAAGGTGTCAAAAAGTATTAACTAAGATATAACAACTACCTGACCTTAACTTTTAATTAGGGTACATTAATTAGAGTAAAACCCAGCCAGTGTAGTTTATTGCCAGAACATCTATATTATTTATATCTCTGGGAACAATGGGCCCCAGTTCTCTAGTTTTAAGGCCATATATGACAAAGTTTAATCACAGATGATCTTTAAAAATGATGGAAAAGCAGACTTGAAGTAGCATTGCTCTACCTCACTATATGGAAAGCCTAGGACCTGAGTTGTCTACCAGCAATTTGGAAAGGAAAAGGAAAATAAACAACCTTTAAAATTATAAGCACAGATGCACCACACCCAACTTGACATATCTATTTCTTTAGCAAAATACTCCTGAATTACATTTTTTAAATATAAATCAAGTAATTCAAAAGCTTCATAATCTATAGAGCTGGATTCTGCATCCACTGAAATCAACTGAAATTTTGGTATCTGAATTGGGTTTATAACCAGATATTTTTTCTTTAAATCATCAAAAAAGCCAGCTGACATTTTTGTCAAAAATGTTGTACAGTACCACTGATTCAGTGGATTTCTGTTACAAAGTATCATTTCATGTTTTGGAACTACTTCTAAACAAGCTGATGTGAAAGCCTAATTAAGACGAAAAGCAAATATGAAACTTCACTCAGCATCCCTAAAATCAATTTGAGAGGTGCTAAGTATTATTTTTACAGTGTTATATTCAGTGTCGGCTAAAGAGCTGAGGTTGCTGTTGGAAACAATACATAAAACGTAAGCTAACATTCTAGATACATTTCAAAATTTGGAAGTTTATCATTGGAGAATAATTGCTATTTAATGGACTATGGTTCTCATGGAGCCAAAATTCTGCCATTGACTGACATTTCAGCATATGTAGTAGGCAACCGTTGAACCTTTTGGATCCTGGTGTATGCATGAGAGGTCACCCAGACCTTCAGCGTGTACAGCTAGACATGAGTATGGAGAAGTGGAGGCTGCGCAGCCCTTCCATCCCCCACTAGCTCTATGCCAAATATTACGGCTTCACCTTACATAAAGAAAGAGTGACATCTGGTGGCAACACAGAGTCTTTTTATAGAGAATTTTCTTTATCATTTACCTCTTCCAATCTCTTACGTTTTAAAGGTTTCAGTCCCAATTCAAACTACAGAACTATCACATTAAACAAGGTTACCCACCTGCGCAGCAATACCTATTCTGCCCTGATTTAACATTCCGATTGCATACTTATAGCCTTGGCCAAGCTGTCCCAGGATACTGGTCTCGGGAACCTAAAGAATAAAAATCACTCAATTACTCCTTGTTCTCTTCTGTTCTGCAACTGCTAGGAGCGCTCACAGCTGAATCAGGGTACATGTTTTATTTAATACACCTTATAACTGAAGGCAACGATATAAAAAAGGGAATTTGATTCCCATAGCACTTTTGTAGAACCCTTGCCAGCACACAGGATTATAAATAGGGAGAGAGAAAAGAGTATTCAAAATTGGCCCATTAGTAGAAACTTCTAACACTGAGGTAAGATGATCCTCAGGAGTGCTGGGTAGCTGCAGCACCTTCACAAGATTCAGCCTGTGAAAAATCAAGCCCTTATTGAGCTTTCTTTCCTGTAACTTTATCATACATAAAACACACTTCAAAATCACTAAACTTCCATCAGAGGCTTTAGAACACTTACTGTACCTTAACATTTTCAAATGTTACTGGGCATGTAGAAGATGCTCTGAGTCCCAGTTTATCCTCTTTCTTCCCTACACGTAGTCCCTCTGTATCACGATCTACTATGAAGCATGTAATTCCCCTATATCCCTAAGGAATAAATAAAAACAAAGCATCTAATCAGTAATTTTTGATTAACTGATTTCCCCATCTCACAATTTAAACCTCTTGAATCTTATATTAATATGCAAAATGTGGCATTATCAACTATTTTGTTTCCTCAGCAATATCTGCTGCGAACAGAATTTAATAAGGACTAAGGAAATGCTTCTGGCTGTCCTCATGGGACAAAAAAATGCTGAAAATTGACCATGTTACACAACTTTTAAAATATGCTCACTGAACACAGATAAATTCTCTGAAGATTTTATAAGCAATGAGCAATTTTATGAGGCTGCGCCCTCCCAATTCTGCATGCCACCATTCCCCCTGTTCCAGCCACCAAGAGCAGCTCTGATACTGGACACAAAAACTGAAGAGAGGAGAGGAGGGGAGGGGTGGGGAAGGGAGATTCATCTGTAGGAACTATAACTCTTGTTTTGCAAGTTATGTTCTGTGCACAAATATTCTGCTTCAAACATGTGGATCTACTGATGCAGAGTTGGAGATTTTCAGCTAACAGCAGTATCTGGTGGGTGCTGAAAGCATTCTGCATAACCAGCTGAGGGCCTGGATAGCAGAGTACCCAACATACTTCAGCTCCCCCTCATCACTGGTGGCTGACACTTCAGACCACAGTCCCTCTCTTCCTATTTTTTAAATGATAGTTAATTCAATGTGAAAAGATAGCAACAGTTAGTATTGTTTCTGTTATTCTCTGACTGGATAACCTTTAAGGTTTCTTAATGGTTGGAGTGGTAATCCTGTACTTGCATTAATGTGCAGAAATCCCCAGTTTTCAAACCTTAGCCCTGCAGTGTTATCATACTCACAAGCAATGGGCATAGAAGGTACCTGTTTTGAACAAAAGAACACAAGTTATCTTAAACACTAAATCTAACACTAAAATAACCTGTAGAAATATATTCACATTCCAAAACAGGCAAATTGGGATTTTAACTTTTGCCGTAAAATCAAAATGACAAACGACGAAAACATCACATCTACCTTTTCAGAAAGGCTACATGAGCTACCTGCCCTACAGTTTACTGTACCAATGCTTTTTGGGCATGTCTACATGTGCACTTTTATGTGCATTATCTTATTTTAATGTGCATTAAAGTATCGCTAAAAAAGTGCTCTTTAGTTAATGTGCATTAAGATAGGCTATTGTGCATTTTCCTAGTACGGGGGTACTAGATTTAATGCACATTAACCAAAGCACATTAATGCATGTCTAGACGCACCCTTTGTGGCCATAATCTGGGCTTACTTTTTGACTCTTTTGTTTTGTCAAAGGCAGGACGAAATGTGTTAAGTCAGTGGTGTTCAACCTCTCTGGCCCCAAGGGCTGGATAACACCACTGTGTTAAACTATTTGTGAGGGTCTCCATTTTTGTTCAGGAAATAGAGCTAATTTTTGAAGGTTTATCTGCCATAGGGCAAAGAATATTAACCTTCACACCACAAAATGAGTAGCAGTGTCATGATATTACCAACTATCACAAGAAACAGCCCTAGCTATTCCTTAGCAACTTACTAAAGAAGGATCTACATTTGCCATGACGTAAAACATTCCAGCCTGCTCCGCAGAGCTAATCCACATCTTTGAGCCATTGATAATGTAATAATCTCCCTTCTTTTCAGCGCGAGTCTTTAAAGAAAATGCATCACTGCCAGATCCAGCCTCTGAAAGACAGAAACTGCCCACCTGTTGATTAAAAGGAAAACTATATTATAGATTTTATGTAAAATATTTGCACTATAAACATTAACAAAGTTTAAAAGCAAAGTGGGCATAAGTAATCAATCTTGTTAAATATTTAAATTACTTTTTAATGTGCATGTTGTGGGTAGTGGCAAAGTTAAGTTTACAGATATGAAGGGAGGCTAACCTAGAGGTAAAAAGAAGGAAGCAAAGTCATGACCTTTGGGACATCCTCCCTATTCTGCTACAGTGATTCTTTCTGTAATTTTAGCATACTTTGTAACCTCTCTATACTTCTAGTTAAGCTATTTGTAAAACAGACCTAATACTTTGTATTCTAAATACCCTTCATATCAGCAAATCATTTTGGATAAAACACTTTACAGCACACAAGTACGAAAAAATAACATTTGTCACAGAAGGAATCCCAGGTATGCATGTTGGAAGGTGTTTTATAATACTACTGCTTTTAAAAAATCTACAGGCAACCCCCACTTAGCGCTCTTAATTGGTTCCTGAAAAAGCAGGCGTTAAGCGAAATGAATGCTAAGCAAACCGGAAAGTACCTGACGACCCAAGATGGCAACTACAAGTGTTTTTCGTGACCCAAGATGGTGACTGTGAGCGTTATAATGAAACTTGCTAAGCGTGCTAAGTGTAACCAGGTACAGGCAACCCCTGCTTAGCACTCCTAATTGGTTCCTGACAAAATGAGCGTTAAGCAAAACAAGTGTTAAGCGAAACCAAAAGTATTTGATGAACCAAGATGGCAACCACAAGCATTTTTAATGACCCAAGGTGGTGACCGAGAGCGTTATAACGATGAGCGTTATAGCAAAACAGCGCTAAGCGAAACAGCATTAAGCAGGGGTGCCTGTACATTTTCTTCTCACACTAATGTTAATACACCTAGATCAGTGATTCTCAACCAAGGTGCTTTGAGATCTTTTCAAGGGCATCACGAGGTGCTACTCAATATTAGCACTGTTAGGTGTACAAACATGATTCACAAGATAAACCCAGAGATTTCAAGGGGGAATCTACAGTGACAAGGATATTCTAACTGGTTGTGGCCTTTCTGAGATCTCTACACCGGAAGAATTTGTCTATTATTTTTGTGAAGTCAAAAAACAGTGAAAACTAAGAACTGGTATTTTCTGAGGTGTGCCTTGAGTCTAAAAAAGTTGAGAACCACAGATTTAGATAAAGTTAACTTTTATACAAGGGAAAATATACAGTTACTTAAAGACCCTAATAAGTCAAGAGAAACATTTCATAACACTGGGACTAAGGACACTAGGGCAAGGGAAACATTTCACAACACTAGGGTTAAGTTTAGTGATCAGAAACTGGTTTAAACCTGTAAAAAAACAGAAGTTCAGTGCACATAAACCATTTTCAAAATGGCCGAAACTGGTTTAAGATAAACCTAGTTGGATGTAGTATCAGACTTAACTGATTTAGGTCAAACTGGTTTATGGAACTTCTGTCCCAGATCCCCTCCTGGTTCAAGTTTACTCAGTCTCCCAGCATCCCAGGATGCTTTGCAGCCCTTGGCTGTGCCATCTGCTCCAACAAGCAGGGTTTTCCCTGCCCTTCTGCTCCCTAGCCAGAGCAATATCATTCTGGGTGGCTGGGGGGGGGGGAACTTGCCCCTCGGGCCCAGCACCAGATCCCCAGTGGGGTTCTGCTGGTTGCAGTGGGAGGGGGGAGGAGGGAACCAGAAACTACGCATGCTCCTGTGCCAAGTCCCACACATGCCCAGAAGAGGCATCACATTAGTTGGACCTAGCTCTCTTAACATTTGTATAGATTGGGAGCTTTAGTGGAGCTTTTTATACAGATTCACAGAAGTTTAGGGCTGGAAGGGATCTCATGAGATCATTGGGTCCAGCCCCCCTGCAGGAAAGATTTTGGTGCTTTTATCTAATAACTGATTGAATCAGCTTTTGATAAAACAGCCAAAAAGCCCTGCTGAAGTGCCCGGTCTATACAGACACTGCAGAGCCGGGTTGAACGAACTCACTGACTTCTTCCAGTAAAGAATGTTTTTTTCCCCCCTCCCATTTGTCAAATCAGCTACTATTCACTGAAGACAGAAGAGACTGCCTCTTGAACAAGTGATTAGAGATCTACATTTTTGAGACTAAGGACAAATGTTCCAGTCTCAGCTCCATACAAGATACTTTCCTGAAAGCAAGAGTGCTAGAAGTTTCTTTAAAAAATTAAACTTCTTTTAAACAGAAGATATCACAAAGTTTGCAGTAAAATCATAGTGGTTGGTGACACTCCCTACTAAGTACTAATAACGTATGTCCAGTTCTGTGGTAAAATAAGGGATATGTCTGCTGTTTCTCTATCAAAATCATTATTTCAAGTGTTGTTCACTCCAGTCCCACTGTTTATTGGCTCTGTCCATAAACATGGTATTTACTTTTACTGTTCAGCCAGAACAAATCATGGACCTACCTCAGAATTTTGAATGCTGACTGCTACAGATATTCAGAGCGTGCATTAGAGCCACTAACAGTAAGTTTTTTAAGTTGCGTCTTGAATCCGAAGGCTTCTTACTTGTGTCCACACCCTGTTCCACAACAAATGTAAACCAGTTCCCAATCAGTGACATTTTAGAACAGTTCAACTCTTATGTATGTTAAGACATAAGCTTTCATAGGCAACAGCATCCAGCAAACTAAGCTGCTGCCTGCAGGGTGCGGACGCATATAACAATTGATCATTTCCAAATGTCACTGGTTGGAAACTGATCCACAGTTGTGTGTGAAGTGCCATGGCTCCAGCACTGAAGGATGGCAGCCAGCACCCAGCCTTCCAGTGGGTGAATAAAGGGGGTGGTGGTGAGTACTTGCACCCATGCTTTGGAGGGCCCAGGTGTGGGTGAGCTGTGGCTTGGGGTGTGCTCAATATTCGACTTCCCTTTCTCCTAAATATGAGTTCAATAAACTTCAATAGCCCACAATTGACCAAAGTCTGCAGTGTGCCTGCTTAATTTGGGGAGATGGAGGAGAGAGGTTGGAGCTGCACTTTTGGATTCCCAGAGGCTGGGGTGGGACATGATGAGAGGCCACAGTCAAGTAGTGACTGACAAACAAGCAGAGCAGGGATGCTCATCAATAAAAAAGTACCAACAGAAAGGGGAAAAAAGCAGGGGTGGAGGCAGTAAAGTGCTGCAATGGACTGCTTTGGTATGCAGCTGGGGGCGGGGCAGGGAGGGGAAGAAGGGTGGAGCAATGCAGTATGGGATGTCTGGAGGACCAACCATACTTGTGTCACAGAATGCTTGGTGTCCACACAACACTGAACCAGTTCAAAATAGTGCTTGCTATTTTAGGTATACAGGATGTTTATAAAGCCCTTGCGCAAATTTAAACATTAATAACTTTGGATGTACACATGATAGAAACAAACTATACACAACAATTGAAAGACTAATTCACCAAGTTTTAACACAATACAGCTCAAATGTCTAGATTTCAACATAACTGCCATCTGTCGTGATACATCGTTCAATCCAATTTTCCAACTCATAGAAAACATTTTGCTGCTGAGTGATTTCATGAATTGCATTTGTGATCCTTACCCTATGCCTAGCTTACACAATGCTAAAATCTTTACGTTTTCAATCACCGTTTACAGTTTGCTTCTATCATGTGTATATCCAGTTATTAAAGTTTAAAGTTGCACAAGGATTTTATAAACACTCTGTACTTTTGAACCATTTCAATTAACTTGAAACCCATTTAGGAAGTCTGTAAGTCCATCTACTTCAGGTCTAACTGCATTTAAATTGGATCGTTATGTGTACCAATGCCATATGAAGTCTCATGCTTCTCTGAACCAGGTAGTCTTTAAGGGCATCTTTACATGCGTTGTGGGACATAGTGCTGGGTGCTTTAATTAGCGAGCCGTGCTAATTGAAACTGCCCACACGTCACGTGTATCAGTGTCCCCACACTGAAGAAACGGCGGCGGGGCACTTCAAGCTAAAGCCCATTGTATGTGTTTTATGTCAAAGTGCACTGTTGCCATTTTTTCAGCGTGGAGACGTGCGGGGATGCCGATACACATGACGCGGAAGGCTGCTGGGGTGTGTCAATTTTCCTGCTCCAGCACACTCCATTAATCATGCTGGATTTCCAGCTCAGCAGAACAGGCTCTGTGCACATCTATAGGAGCCCTAAGGTGCCACCCTGCCCTACCTTCTGGCTGACTTCTGACTACTGTGGAACCACCTCTCTAAGAATGATGATATTAAAAAATGTCCATGCTAATATATGATGTTGCCTTATACTGCAGTAAATCAGGAATGTCAAATTCACCCCGCCCTGGGCCAGATGCAGTGGTAGCACAGTTAACGCAGTTGTTGCTTGCCCTCTGCTGCCAACATGTGCCTCCAATAGGGCTCCATGGCTCAGATTTTAGCAGCAGGCCCTGCCCCACTTGTCCCTCCCCTAAATTCCTGGTTTATGAGCCCTGTAGGCTGTAAGTTTGACACCCTTGCATTTGATCATTTAATTCCCTAAAAAGACATTAACATTACAAAATCTTGTTAAACTATATTATAATTTAGAAAAATACTTAACTCACCATATCTTTAGCCAGTCTGGGCAAGTAGGTCCTCTTTTGCTTTTCTGTTCCATGTACAATAAGTAATTTGTTAATTAATGTATTTTGGAGCTCAGGTATAAGAGCTACTGCTGCATCGACCTTGGCCAATTCTTCTACCACCAGGATGGTTGAAAAAAATGAAGATCCAGTTCCTCCCCATTCTGTCCCAAGTTCGATACCCATCAGCTAAGCGAGAGAATGTAAATACAGCTATTGTGTGGAGGATCCTACAGACACTAAGTGAGGCTGACAAGATCATTTGAATACTTTCAGTATCAGGAAATACAATTACTTGGAGATACCTAGAAATTAAAATAGGTCAGAGAATATAAAATCTCTCCAAATCTTTCCCCAAGATCTACTATCACAGTACCTACAATAAATTAACCAGATAATAGTCTCCTGATGAAAATCAAGATAGAAATATAGCATGTTACAAACCTGGCAATATATATGCCAGGCATCACTCTGACTGATCCTACTGTACTGTTTTTAATTGTTGCAATACAAATGCCAGAATTAAGCCTGACATTTAAATTTGTCAGAGAATGGTCTTTCAAAAAGAGCTGTTCTTACTAAATACAGATTTGGATTTGATAACAGAAAAGGACAACATTTAATCAATGTACAACTGTAAAAGCAGAATTGAACTAAAATCAAATAAAAGTGTGCAGACCCCTAGTTTGAACAATCCTTGAAGTACAGATTCTTCTATCTTTGCATCAGCATCCATTGTTTTTACAAAAGGGGCAATTCGTTCTTGAGCAAATTTTTTCACTGTAATGAAGAAAAAAAAGATACAAGCATTCTAGCCATCTACTTTAAGAAGCAGTATCTGAGTCAGCAACATAGTATTTGAGGTGGGCATCTACATTATTCAGTGACCAATGCAAGATGTCCAACAGTAGGGCCGTGCGAAATTTCAGCACCTGTTTTGTTTTGGAGGTGTTTTGGCCCATTTTGGTGCCCGAAACACCGAATCTGAAATGAAACAGAAGGCTCCAAAACAGCTCTGAAATGAAACCATGCAAAACATTTCAGAGGCTGGCTTGTGGGGAAACAGAAACTCCGAAGAGGGAGGGGGAAGAGACGAGGGGAAGGACTGCTCTCATTGACATCTGTAGCTAGCCAGTGTCTGAGATCTGTCCCTGAGTCCCTTCCAATCCCAGTGCTCTGGGGGAGGGATGGCAGCCTGCTGTCATCATGTGCACAGATCCAGGGGCCTGTGCCCCCCGGGAAGAGTATGGCACGGCGTTGCAGCCTCCCGGTGGGCGCAGGACCCCAGACTGGTGTGCGGGATGACGGCATGCAACCTCTGCCGGCTGGGGCCAGTGGCAGCACCAGTCTTTCCAGTGCTCAGCGCAGGGTGTGCGGAGCAGACTCGGGTGCTGCCGCTGGCCCCAGCCAGCAACATGTTGTCATCCTGCATGCAGATCTGGGGGCTCACACCCCCAGGGAGGAGTCTGGCACAGCGGGCCCTGGGATCTCTGTGTGGGATGACAGCATGCTGCTGCTGCTGACAAGTGATACGAGTTTTGCTTTGAACACTTTGAGGTGTAGTTTCACAAAAAACTCTGTATCTATCTCCTGGAAACTTGGCAGGCTTCATGCCCTCAGAAGGGGCTACCATTCCTGCAATTTTCATCTGAATCAGCCAAGAAATAACTAAATTATAGGCATTTTAGTGATTCCCCATTATAGCCCATGGCTGAAACACCAAAACAGCATCGAAACTTTGAAACAGATTTGGCTGAATTGACAGTGATCTGAAACTGAAATGAATCACTGTCCCTCTGAAATGCTGAATCCGAAACCAAAATGAAACAGACATTTCGCACAGCCCTATCCCACAGATAAACATCACAATGTCCTAGTGTGGCCCCAAGCAGAAAGAGCCAGCACGCTAAAAACAATATGGATGTCTTGGTTAATTACCAGCAATAGCTTTTATGGTCTCAGTAAGAAGCAACTCCCTAAGTTGAAGTTATAACACACAGCCTATTTAGGCTTAGAAACTGGGAGGACATCTGTTCACTAGGGCACCCCAACGGAAGACAAGGTCCAATGGTCACAAACTCCTGGAAAACCATTGTAGGCTGGACATAAGGAAAAGCTTCTTTACTGTCTGAGTCCCCAGGGCCTGGAATAGATGCCCCCCAGAGGTGCTGCAAGCACCTACTCTGGACACTTTCAAGAAACATTTGGATGCTTATCTTGCTAGGATCCTTTGACCCCAGCTGACTTCCTGCCCTGTGGGCAGGGGGCTGGACCTGATGATCTTGCGAGGTCCCTTCTATCCCTAATGTCTATGAAATCTATGATAGGGTCATTCTCATATGAAAGTTTTGCTTGTCACAAGTCAGAACACAAAGTGCAATTTTGGGAATCTGGTTTTATGCTGTTGTTTAGAGATTATAGACCTAAATTGTATTAAGGGAATGTGGCTATATACTTTGCTAGTGTGTACTATTTTAGTTGAACAAAATCTACATAAACAAGGAAAAGAAACCCAAGGTTGCTGTTTATTAACTGGAGTCTCCTATAAATTCTCCCCAGCAGTACAGGCCTTACATCCATCTTTGCCCTGATGCTTCTTTCTCTGCCTCATACTCCTAGAAGTCACAAACGTACTCCTCTCCCCCGCAACCTCCAATCCATCTGCCCTACCCTCCAGGCTGGGCTGGGCAAATACCAGACAGTCCTCCCTCTGCTCCCTTCCCCTTCTCCCATTTGGGAGCAGGGCTGGGCTGCATTCTGCTCCCAGCACGTGATGACACAAGTTAATGGAAGCATTCAGTTCTGGAGCACCTTCATCTGAGCCTTCCTGTAAAAAGGGTTCAGATTGTCATGGGATTGGGCCCTTTCAAAGGGCTCTGCAGCTGTGCCCTTCTGTAAGAGCACAGCTGTGGAGCACTTCATGGGGCTGATCTCATGACACAATATCACTTGTGTCAGCACCCACAGTGATCACTTCTGACAATCTGCTCCCAACTAAATCCCTCATTGTTCAAACTGTTGAAATGTATAACACAGTTAAGTCAAATGGGAATATATGCAGCTAGATGCTGGAATTTACACACATGGAACACAAAATACATATTGTCACTATGTCTACACTTATGGCATCTTTTGACTCCCAGAGGACAGTTGAACTAAGGGAAGGTTCAAGGAGCCAGTCCCACCAAAAATCAAATACTCAAGAAAGTAAATGTAAAAAAAAAAATTAATAGCAAATATAACATTATACAAATCAGATATGAATGACTGAACAGTACTAATAAGGCACATCAAGCAAATGATTAAACATGATAAAATGTGCATTCAGCTAAAGAAATAATAATCTTATTCCTATCTGAAAGAAATTAATCTTAAAATTCTCTAAGTCCAAAAGTCTTGAAAAGCCTATTAACAGATGGTGAACTGGCTAGGAAAAAGGACTTATTACCTAGTTTTAAAAGCTAAGTTTTAAACAAGTGCTTATCTTAGTTCATCTGCAGAGGGGCTATTCAGCTATTCTAGGCTAACAAAACATTCATCTCTTCATTCTGAACCATAACCAGATCCAACTGGTATAAAACCACTAAATGAACTCTAAGCAACCTTCCTGACCTATCTTGCACCTTCTCCACTCTTCTTGCCTTGCCTGTTTTCCTTTCTTTCCTCTTTTCTTATCCATGCTCTGGTAAAGTAGATGCAAGTGAATACTACTTGTTACCATCATTAAGCAGTATGGAGTCTACTACAGTCTACGCACCACACTTAATGGCTATTGCTAGGTCCAGAGGCAGAATTAAAGTTGCCTTGTGGGATGGCATGTACGTTAACTTCATATCTCAATTTTTCAGAGATGAAAGCATAGCTGCACTCAAGAACAGGAGGTGGCAACCTATGGCCTGTGGAGCAACTACAGCCCACAGCACCTTTGGACCTGGCCTGTGAAGGCATTGGTTTGGCAGCATTTGGCTGGGGAATGAGGCGGGGACTCTCCCTGCACTGCACAGCAGTCAGCCACCTGGGGCTCCAGCAGTGGGGAAGCTCTGCCCATGCCCCACTACAGTCAGGCAGCACAGGCTCTGGCAGAGGGGGGCTTTTGCCTCACAAAGTGGTGGGCAGAAGCAATAGTACTTGGGTCCTAACATCTTCCTCCCTCCAACGTGAACAGGGTCATTCTGATCCCCCTGCCAGAAAACACTGCCAGCCTCTGTTCTAGAAGGACATGACACTGGCCATGTTTAGGCATACATGTCTATAATGTTACGTGCTGCAGCACTTTGAAGTGTTACGAAAATGTACGCTAACATGTGCGAAGCCCTCTGGCTGGAGCACTATGAAGTTGCCCCAAAGACTTCCAGCTGCATGCTTTCCAGTCAAAGGGCAATAGGGGGTTGGTTGGCCTTGCCATCAAGTGCAGGGGGAAATGAAAAGTTGCATTTCAGCTCCCTGCTTCCCAGCCTTGATGACAGCTGAGCACCCATGCAGCACTCAAAGGCAGGGGGGAAGGGTGAGCACTGGGGGACAGTGTACTATTCAGACATTACATGTGGCACTATAAAACCAAGCACTATAGAGAAGTTTCTTTTTCATCTAGGAATATTTATGCAATGATTCTACCATTTTTGAAGCACTTGCACCATTTTAGTAAAGCTATAGGCCGAAGGCATATTGAAATGCGCAATATTTATGGCACTACAAGGCCAAACATAGTGCTAGAAATGTAACATCTGAACACAGCCACTACTAGGCAACCTTGTTTCTGTCAAAGTTCTTGAACAGTTTACAGTTCAGACTGAATAGACGAATATTTTGTTAGCTTAGAATACAGAAAAAGTAGCAAAATAAGACCAAATTCATTCCCTTGAGACCTAACCAAAATTTCAACTCAAGTTCTTGATTTATTTTTAAATAAAAATCAACACAACGATCTCCAAATTTAACTATGTATAATAAAAAACTATTACTTTACAAATATTTTTAACACTGAACTTTTCACTAACATCTGGATAAAAAACATTCCCTCTTAAAGAGTTTGAATAACGCAAAAAAATAGGTACCTGTTTCTTTCAGCATTTGCTCTTCTTCTGTTAAGGTCTGAAGGGGAGCACACCCCATCTCACTGGTGAGACTGGGAATATTTTCTGCTTTTGAAGATTTAAAGATACAAGGAGCAGCCTTCCAAAAATTCAGATATGTTGGCAAGTTTTTTCTTAGCTATTAACAAAAACATGAAAGCGTTAGCAACACTCGTTGTGAAGTACAGAACATGTTCAAATATTTATAAACAGCAATATACAATTTTCATATACAGCTTTTTATTCTCTGTTCAGTACTTGAAACAGCAAATACACCCAAGTCATTATTTCCAGTGCTACTAATTTCAAATTTTAGCAGCTAAAGCGAAGAAGCTCTGGCAATGTATTTACCATTTAACTAGTTACATTTATTAATCATGCTATTTCCTCTCTGCCAGGTTTCTCTAGGGCCAGGTTCACACATTCAGTTTCTACTGGGAGAATAACCATTCTCCTAGTAAAAACCACAAGCGGGCAGACATACAGGCTCTTTCACCCATCAGTCCCACTTCCCCCTTTCCACCTATGTGCTCCAACTGACCTAGAGCAGTGCAGGGTGAGACAGGCTGCTTTGCTGCTCTAAGAAAATGTCCCTACAGCACACTGCTTAGGTCAGCCCAGAGCAGCATGAGGGAAGGCAGACTGCCATGTCCCTATGTCACAGCTCCCAGAGCCTTTCTACCAGGGTGGATAAAAATCAATGATTTAAAAAAAAAAAGAATCAGATTTTTTAAAATGTAAATCAAATTTTTTTATTTAATTGTATTTACTGTTTTTTAAGATGCTTTAAAAAAATCCATATAAAGATAGTTTTAATTTCTGATACATTAAAGCTCAAAGATGTCATCATGGAATATGGATTATAACTTTTAATTATATACTATTTGGGACATTATATTTATGTGAACTTTTTAGAAGTTTTATAAATAGGTCACAACAGGCCATGGACTATATTAGGGGCCCCACCTTGTGGGGTTCCCAGAGGCTCCTCTATAGATTAGTAAAGATTAAAGAAAACCACTCTAGCCAGTGGGACTCAGTCTAGAAGATCCCATTAAGCATCTCTGTAATGCTTAGTTTAAGTTCTCAAACTGTGGATTTGTGTCTTCAGATATCATAGGCAGACAAAGTTCTTTAAGTAAATGCGGTATCTTTTATTAGACCATCTAAATAGTCGGAAAAATTGTTCTTTACAAGCATTTGGGCACAATCACCTTTCTTCAGGCAAAGAGAGAGTTTCTTGTCTCCAGAGATAACATCCTTGTTAACAGCAGTATACGGAGATGAGAGATAACGGACCTGATTATTACTCACCCGTTATCCCTATCGTCTCTCTGCAAGTTTGTGTACACCCACTCAAGCCCTTAGCTTTCTCTAACAGTGCAAAGTTTCAAGAAGTTAAATGAATACAGGATATCAAACAAAGAATGCATTTTTGGTAGAACACAGTGATTAAATTGAGGCTTTCTGACCAGTCATTTAGATCATGCTTTAAAGCAATTTTATTTAAATCAAATCCACCCTGCCTACTACAGCTGCTGAATGCTGTCTCCCTCCCCTCCTCACTTCTTTGGTCAGACTGGAAGAGGCAACTCTCTTGCAGGGGGAAGCCAGGAGGGTTTCTAGACTGTCAATCAGCTGACTGGAGAGAAGGAGGGGAGTTCTCCCAAGGCAGGAACCCTCCTGGGGCTGTCTATGGCAGCAGCTGCTTTTCAGCAGCTACCACCTACTGCTTGACAGCCTGCCCACTTCCCAGGTAGGGAAAAGGGCAGGCTATCAAGTAATGAATGTCTGTATGCAGCTTATATCAGGGGTTGGCAATGTTTTCCAGTGCAGGGGGAAGAAGGGCAGAATGACCCAGCTTGGGTTGGAGGACTCATCTGCTGTTGCTACCTCTCCACTGCTCAGCAGCAGTATGGCACAGTGAAAGCGCCCCCTCTGCCACAGCCCATACCACCCAACTGCAGCATGGCACAGGCAGGGGGTGGGGGTGTGTGTGTCAAGCAGTAAGTGACGACTGTCCACAGACACTGGCGCAGCCAATCTCAGGGGTGGCATGTGCCCCCCCCCATGTCCCTCCTACACATCGCCTAGGGCAGAGGTCCCCCTCCACTGGAGCCCTAGGAAGTTGACTGAGGTGCAGCACAAGGATAGCTTCCCCTCTGTCCGAATCCCAGGCAGCTGACTGACACGGTGCCAGGACAGCACCCAGCCACTGAATGCCGCCAAAGCCACACCGCCACGGGTCAGATCCTAAAGCTCTGCAAGCCGTATCAGGCCTGCAGACCATAGGCTGCAGACCCCTGCTCTATGTTAATCAGCATAGCAGTATCATTTTGATAAAAATGCTAAAAAAACACGAATGTAAATCATATTTAAATAGTTTTTCTGCAAATTATTTTTGAATTGAAGCAACTTGCTAGAGTCCATTTTTTCATTGCTGTTAGTATAAGAAACATGTTCACATTAATATTTGTATATTTTGGTGGGTCTGATCTCTTAATCAATAATGTAACTGGATTAATTATTATTATACTTTTTCACAGTAATCTTACTTATTATGAATCTGTCGGCGTTTGGCAGACCAGATAAAAGCTAGCGACTATTTGGACTGTTACCCAAATACTCTGTTTTTACTAAAGCTTAAATGTATTTTACGTTTTGTACTTGATTCTCAGTATTCAGTAGCCCCGGTTGTAAAGCATTGTGTTTCAGATAATAAATAATTTTGATGCAATGGGACAGCTCTGATCTCACAGGTAATTTTTCAAAAGGAGCAATAATTCAGCTTTTTAAAATGTGGAGAGTCAGAATGCACTTCAGAAAACAATCTGCAATATATAGATACATTTTTATTTAATGAGACTAAATCCTGGAGTTCAGATGATCAAATGGTGGGAGACAGCCAGCTCCAACTGAGTAATGATATGCCTTGAGTCAGTGGTCTCCAACCTTTTTAAGTAGGAGATCACCTTTGGCATTTAAAAGCAACTCAAGATCTCCCGTGTGCTGCCAGGACCCCCCGCCCAAAGCAGGTAAGTTTGTGGGGAGGGTCGGGAGGGGGCAGATTGAGGCAGAGGGATAAACATTATTTGGGGGTGCACCTCTCCAGCGGGTAAGTCCCACCCGGCCAGGGCCCCACTCAATTTACCCCTGCTTCTGCCTCTGCAGCACTGTCCCTCACCGCAGGGGCCTCCATCTAGCCCCTACCTCGTCCCTCCCTCACGGACTGACCTGCTGGGTTGTGGCACGTGTGCATGCACACAGGCACTCAGCCCCCCCACTCAAGCCTCAGATCGACTCCAAGAGGCTCTGAGATCTACTGGTGGATCAAGATCCACTGGTTGGTGACCACTGCCTTGAATGGTTATTTAAAAATATCAAAAAACAAAATAAAATACAGAGCAAAGGGTTGAAATTAAGAAATTCTGCAAACATTCTCATCTCTGACAGTTCTTCCCCACTCTGCTTCACATTCACTAACTACCAAAAATATACTCCAGTTATATCAGGAGGTAATTGTAATTGCAACACTGTGCTACAGTATTTGGCCACTGCAGATAGTATGTTGCTTTATTTTATAGAGGAATAATGCGTTTTAATTAAATTTTGCCACAAACATTCCACTAGTATTAACATAATAAAGTAAGCACCAGACAACCAAAGGACAAGGTAGCTTGTGGATGCAGCTTGTTTCATAGTGGATTTGCAATACAAAGCAATAAAAAAAGCTTCACAGTCTATATAGAATAGAAACTATGAATAAGATATAGCAAGAGATTTCAACCATTTTTAACAAGTGTACCCCTTCTGCCTCAAAGTTGCAGCTCATGTACCCCTTTATATTTTTCTCTTGTTTTTAAGGGGCAGGGGGAGGGAAGGAGTGGGGCTGAGTCAGGGGCAGGCGCTGCATAGCCAGGGCAGACTGCAGGACGGATCCATGAAAGCAGTTCATCCAGGAGTTGTGGGGAGGGGGGGTGCAGCTCCTGCCACTGCGCACACTCCGGCGGAGGCCCAGGGGGCACATGCCCCCCAGAGCTGAGCATGGGGCAGCTGCTGCTGCAGGCTGGACTCTGCACCCCACTGCCCCAAGAGCTGCATGATGACAAGTGCCCGCTTCCACTGGGGGTTGGGGGGGCAGGGGACAGACACAGACACACAAAGACGCAGACACACAGAAGAAGACACACATGCAGACACACACGTGCAGATGCAGACACAGACACATACATACACACACAAGCAGATGCAGAAACACTGCAGGTAAGTGAGTGTGGGGGAAAGGGTGGGGTGGGGCCAGATCGAGAATGGCAGTGGGGAAGGGAGGGTGTCTCTCTGCCAGCTCCCAGGAGGAGAGCTGGGGGGGGGGGGCGAGGGCAGTAGTGCCCCTCTGCAGTCTTCACACATGCTGCCAGATGGCCAACTGCATGCTACCCATCACCAGCCCACGGAGCCGCATGTGTGACCAGCTGTGAGAAAGCAGTGTGGGGTGTGGCAGCAGTGGTGGTGTGGGGTGATGGTGGTGGTGGCGGCAGCAGACACCACATGCGAGACCCACACCCCCATCCACCCATCCAGGCAGCGTGCGTGTGCCCACAGAGGGACACCGCTGCCCTTGCTGCCCTGGCCCACCTCTTGGGAGCAAGCAGACACAGAGAGTGAGCTGAGGTGGGGGGCGGAGAGGCACTGCAGTGTGCCGTGTGGGGCCAGTGGCACCTGGCACACCCCTCACCCTCTCCTTTCTCCTCCCCCTTTGCTGGGTAAGAAGCAACGTATGGGAACACACTGGGGCAGACACCACCACTGCACCCTGGGGTGCACTCTGTCCCTGCCCACCTACCTGCCTGTACCCCCTACGGCCTTCCTAAGTACCCCTAGGGGTATACATACCCCCAGTTGACAACCCCTAAGTTATGGTATTTTGGTAGCATGGTTGATTGATATAAAGCAATTGTTAACGGACAATTAGAGGCTAGATGATACTACTAGTTAAATTATCTAGTACTTTGTGTTCAAAGAATTAAGCTGTTAGCTTCTTCCAACTATTTATGATAGCAACAGATTTCAGTTTCAAACGTTGGTGGAATTACTAAAATCCATACAGCACTCCCCATAATATAAAAGATTTGTTTGTTTATT